TTATAAACTTATCGATGTCAACTATCATAAGTCTTTTTATCACTCCGAAAAATTCTATTATGAAAATTCTTAAAATTTTCTAAACCATGGTCGGCAACAGACCTTAAGCTTTCTCACATAATAGAATATAAGGCATATCTCTTCTTTATATTCATTTATCATTTAGCACATAATAGAATATAAGGCATATCTCCTCTTAATATTCTAGTGCTTGCCTCCATTAGGTATTCAACCTAAAATATATCGTATCATCTTTACTTAATAATTCTTGTTTAAGTTTAGAAATTCTTAAAATTTCTAGTTTACTTAAACTAGTTTTCTTAAAATTCTGAAGTAACTTAATATCTTAGAATACTAGGGTTTATCATTACCCAATCCCCCACTTAAATATTTCCTATGGTTTGTATCCATATACTTATTATGAATCAGCTCATATATTGAGCTTCTAACAGTTTAAGTCTAAATACCAATCTGTGATATTTAGTTCACTTAAACCATTGCTCTGATACCATGATTGAATGACCCCAACTTTCATACTATTTCAACATTATTCTTAAGTTACTTCCTCAAAACATGCTACATGCATATTTATAAAACAATATTTTATATTGATAAAGTGATTACAAAAGATTGGATACAAACCGACTAAGTTTTATTACATTTCATGTCTACCCAGGAATCTGCTATTCATATACATACATGAACATTAAAATACAGAAAAATACTATTAACTATTCTAAATCTTTCAGCAGTATAAAGCTATATTGGAATACTCATCACCTTCAATTGTTAAATATTGACAGGAATAAGCGATAACGCTTAGTGAATTCAATAAATAGATACAATATAATCTTATGCCTTACATATACCAATATGACAGAAGCAGAAGGGAACAAGAACAATATTAGCATATACGTATCATATGACAGGCTTTCAATATCAACTCAAGATTTGATTCAAAGATTTACGATCAATGAGACATAGCGATTTCAATACTTGATATGCATCAATAAAGCTTTGGCCCAAATGGCACAGAAGACATATAATTTCTGATTAACATTTTGGTAGATTTCAGGCTTATAGCCCTGTCTAACCATTTGCCAATACCATAGAATAGAGTTCATTCTCTTACGGAGTCATGCTCTACATGGTTAGAGGCTACATACCATTCCTATCTAACCTTCTACCAATGCCATATAATAGAATTCATTCTCTTACGGAGACATGCTCTACATGGCCAGAGGCTACGTACCAGTACCAATGTGAATCTAAGTCCTTTCACTGATCACATGGTCAAAGGTATTATATTTGCTATAAACATAGCGAATAAAATAACACGGGAAAATAACTTAGAATAATAACACTGAAAAGCACATAGAACATATAACACATAACATACAATTGTTCCTATATATTGAACTCACCTTAAGTTAACCGGAGGTTAAAATAGTAATTTGGACATCATTTCGGCTTAAAATATGACTTCTATGTTGAAAACCGGGAGCTTAATTGAAAACCGGGCTCTGCGAAGGTAGGGCTTCAAAACCGAAAATATAAAATTTATGGGCTTCTCAGGGGTCTCGGGGCATGTTTCGGGTGCTAAAATTGATATCGGGGCTTCAGGGAAAGTCAAAATAGTGAAAATATGGAAAAACGGGCTAAAAGTGGCAATTTTCAAATTCTAGCCGGGAGGGTTCGCACCCTCCTATTTATAGGGCCGAGGTTCGGAGTCGGCTGGGAAGGAAGCAAGTAGCAAAGCAGCTCGGTGGCATCAGCAGCGAGGGGCAGGTGGCGCGAAGGCGAGGCTCGGATGCGAGGGTCGGAACAGCTGGCGCGCATGCGAGGCTCGGTCAGTGCGGTTCGGATGTGAGGCTGGTAGGCGAGACGTGTCTCGTTCCTGCTGGACCTCGGCGAATCAGAAGGGAACACGTGCTGGTCTTGGATTTGGCCACGTCTCCGGTGACGCACCTGCTTCGTGCGAGGTGACGTGGTCGGTACTATTCATGCGAGATTTCTCGGTTTTCGGGCCCTAAACTTCTAAAATCCATAACTTTCGCATACAAGCTCCGTTATTGAAGTTCTTTATATGCACGCGTAGCTAAAAGTATGGTCTACAACTTTCGTTTAGACTTCGTCAGCTAATTTTGAGTTTATTTTTAATATTATTATTTTTAACAGATTGGGACAGGAAAATCCGTTAAAAATTCATAACTTCTTCATCCGACATCCGTTTCGTCAGACTTTTTACCGTTGTACTACAAATGACGAGACCTTCGATTCTCGTTTAGGATGTATCGGTTAAATATCGATCGATCTAAAATTCGAGTTTTTAGCTGTCTACTGATAAGTTGAAACTTCGAAAAATCATAACTTCCTCATACGAAGTCAGATTTTGGCGTTCTTTTTATCGAATTTCTCGGTTTAAAGAATACTACGAATTTCATTTAGATTAATAAGGCTAAAAAGTAGTTTATCAAAAACTCACTTTTTACATCATTCGGTGTCGTGCCGGTTTTGTCGTGGATCTTCGGTTGGTCATAACTTCTTCGTTATTACTCGGATTTCGACGAGGTTTTCGCCTATAAGTTTCTAACGAGATGATTTACAACATCAAATAATAAAATTTAACTTATTTCAAATTTTATATTTTCGCTAAATTTCACTATTTGGCTATTAATTGGAATCTCATAAGACTTCCAATATTTTATGAGTGATTCTAAACATAGTTTTACTTCATTTCTAGTAAAAACTAGCTGTTAGAACTCAACACTCAATTTTATTCACTTTTAATAATAAAAATACACAATTTTAGAACATGTATGTTACAAAAACTTTTATGCAAGAAGCATGTTCAAAGGAATGTACTTTGAATTTGAGACTTCATTTCCATGCGATTGTCTTGTAACAATCTCCAATGCAATATTTTGTAATATCATTGGTTAAGTATCTATGACTTTTGGTACCTAGACATTACAAAAGAATCATTGCATGATAGTTTAGAATCTAACACTTTCTAGCAGTGACAAGAATTTGGAATTCTTACACTTGCAATAAGGATTTGGAATTGTGAAATGAGCATCATTGAAATGTTTTTCAATTGATTTATTTCACAAAGTCGGGACCATAGACAAACATAGTGCGCATGCTTGGAGCATGGCATAGCTATTGTTTTAATTCAAGTATTAAGTTGATAAATCGGAACATTATACAATGAATAATGAGTAATCAATATGGCACTCAAAAGTTTTGGTGCCATAGAGGATTAGTATTATTCTTGTGTTTCACTTTGCATGTTTTGACTTCCCAAATAACTAGGTTATTCAAACCATCCATAGGAGATCATACTTTGGACGTAGGTAATGAGGCAAGAATGTCATGAATGGGTCTGTAGTTTGTCTAGGTGTTTTAGACATAGCTGCAGTGTTCATGAGTACTCCTGGAATTAGATTCGAGTATTTGATTCAACCCATGTTCATTTAAATCACTTCATGGATTTTTATCACGAGTGATTGTGAGATTAAAATATCTTATATTCTTGAAACCAAGACATGTGAGTTGTAATTTACAAGTTGGTTGCACATTAACATATGTAAACGCACCAGTAACTTGGTGTTATAAAACATATTGTTGTGTGTGATTTGATGAGTAAGTAAAAGCAAGAATTTGAGTCGAAGTTTATCCATTCCTTTTATCCCTAAGGGGATAAAAGCGATATTTGTGGGCCCCTCGATGATTTAGTGATGACACTCCTAAGTGCTTGGCCATGCCTGAACTGATTTGATTTGTTCAATTATTCGGTCGTCATAAATCGGAAATCAGGAAACAACAGATGGACAGAGAGAATGATTATAATCCATGTCTCAATCAATATGATATCTAGAATCGAGGAATATATGATCCCTTATGTAATGGACGTGTCATTGATGAGGTCAGAGTTCGACAACGACTTGCAATAATAGTTATTAGACTTATCCAAGTAAGAGACTGTTGGATTAGGTGTCTAATCCAATAACTATAATTGGTATGTGTTTGACCCGAGAGTAGTATGGTCCATTTAGGTTGCATATCACCAGGACAATTTGATAGGATGGACTTTTGAGAACAGGTTATTTATGATTTTTTTTTAATATATTATAAGTTCTAATATATTAATATCAAATCATATAATTTAATTAGTATTGATCAAGAATTAATTTGGAATTAATTTTGTGATCAAAAGAGACTAATTATATATAAGGGGATTGATTGGTAAATCATTCATTCTTATGGTGTGGACCAATGATCCATGATTCCTTAGGTTGGGCTAAACCCATGTGATAACCCATGGATGATCCATGGAGGTTTAAACCCGTGGAGCCTAAGGAATATGGAAGGTCATGCACATTAGGGTTTAAATGGTGTAACCCTAATCTTGCCACATTATATAAGAAGCCCCTTAGCATCCAAAATTGGCGAAGATATACACGAGCGTTCTTGGAGATCATTGAGCAGATTTTGGTGTTATGATATTCTCTCAAAAGTCATCCTTTGCCCTAGGTGTGTTGTGATTCCATTTGAGGTGCAACACTTGGGGCACTAAGTTCTTAAAGGCCAAACTCAAGAAGTTCTACAAGCTACAACAAAGAGGTAACTCCATAACTCAATTATATGTTGTTTATATCATGTATATGATAGTTGTAGGCTTAATGCTTTCGAAACAATATTGCATGTATAATTAGAGAAAACATAGATCCAAAGCATTTAGGGTTGTACACCATAGGATGTTGTAGTATACTAAAACCCATCACTTATATCCAAGAAAATGTAACGAGAAGCTCTACACTTCTATCAACTCATGCATTCCTTAAATCCACTTGAACAAAAAATCCAAATTCCATAAAAACACAAACTGACACTTTACTGAAATATCCCTTTGCTACAAAACATGAACTTAACCTCCCGGGTCATCCAAATTACCTTACCACACCCAAATGGGTCTAAATTTAATTTCCTCAAAGGCCCTAAGACTGATGATACTCGATCTTCGGGTCACCAACCTACAATAGGAAACAATTCGGAACAGGATGTTACAAATCAGCTACCCCAAGCTAACGCTGACGTTTACTAGCTTAGGGGACTTGTTAACGTATCCTTCTAGGAATACGTCAAATATAACGAGACGCTTATCTAAACGACGACATAGTTATCGGTTGCTACCCAGCGTAAGTGCTAAGTTTGGGCCTTTGCCCTCACGACCTTACACTTCGACCCCAAGGCTCTAGCACCAAGGTCCAATTCAGAACGAGAGGCTCCGGTCCATAACAACCTAAAACACTACCAATCACTCCCCAGAGCAACAAGTGTAGAATAATGGTTTGAAGGCTGAAAATATGTAAATAAACAAAAAAAAGTGGATTTGAAGCTTCGTGTTTTTGTCGAGAAGAAAATAAGAGTTAAAGATGAAAAGGGAAACGTAATTCTCTAAAATTGAATTAAGAATCGCCACAGTAATTATTTAAATAAGCAAATATATTACTTGGGCTTAAGTCTAGCAAATGTTCAATTCTTGACTAATTATAAAATTAAAATTAAAAATAAAAAAAAATAAAAAAAATAAAAAAAAAAAAAATAAAAAACACTTTTTTGCAATTAATCCAATTCCGTTAGTTTTGGGATGTATCTAGTTAAAAGTTCCATAGTTGGGTATTTATAGAATAAATTTTGGAAACAAAAAATATATATGAATTAATGAGGATGGTAAGGCGATGATCATCACCAGACACTCCTCCTAGATATCTCTGCTCTTCAAATCTGCTTTCTTATTTTCAAATTCTACAAATAGTATTGAAAAGTACATAATAAAGTAAATAAACCAAATAATGCCAGTTAATAAAGAAAAATAATTTGTTTTATTACTCTCTAAAGTATTCGAGGAAACGAAAATCATCAGGTGTCGTTGCATCAAAATTCCACAACAGATCAAGATCGGTACCCACCTCCTCCTCTGAAGCTTCGTCGGAGGTAGCTGATGGTTGCACCATACTTGGTGAATGTTTTTCAGGTTTCAAGCTAAACATTTGAAAATCCAAATGTGTGTCATGGTCAACTCCCATCTCCACTCTATTGAGATAACCATTGGTGGTACTGGTGGTGGTGTTGGTGGTGTTTTCAGTGGTGGTAAGGACTGTTATTGGTGATTCTGGAGGTGGTATTACTGGGGGTATGAACCATTTATCTGTTTGGAACAGTTTTCCGGCGTCTTGACTACTTCCCACCTCCGTTGTGGCAGCGTCATTGGTGTGGACAGTGGTGGTGTAAGTTGTTATTTCCGATTCTTCCTCGGCCCTTGAGGTGGTGATTGGTGGCTCCACCACGCCTTTCCTTGTTGTCTCTTGGGGGAATAGAGCTAGCCACCTAGAAGCTAGAACAACTGGTGAATCATTCACACCAATCAAGAGAGGGAAATTCACCTTAGCTCGTGAACCTAGTAGCTTGAAAGCTGCGTTATCGTAAGCCAATGCTGCTTCCTCTGGAGTATCAAACGTTCCCAGCCATATTCTCTTTCGTTTCTTCTCCGGATCCCTTACCTCTGCGGCAAACTTGCCCCAAGGCCGCCTCCTCACGCCTTTGTACCGCCTCCACTCTGTTGGACGCTGCGGCTCTCCACCTCCGGGCACCACCGGTTCTTTCTTTTTATTAACATATTGCAGTCCCATATTTGTTGAAGTCTTTTTCAACTGATGAAGGGATACTGTATGGAAAAGGTGAATTTGTTGAAGTCCTTTTCAACAGGTGAAGGGATACTGTATCCAAAAGGTGAATTTTTAGTTAATGCATGGTGTTCTTAATGAAGAAAGAATCGTAAAGAAAATATGGAAGAAAAAGAAAAGAAACGTTTATGTTAGATTCATCGCCTAGAACATGGCAAGCCTTATATATAAACAATGTGATCTTAACCCGAGGGTAAAGATTGAGACTAAACACGTTTAAATTATATATATATATATATATATATATATATATATATATATATATATAAAAGAATCAAATGTGAATTATAACTATGGTATGAATCTTAACCAATTATGACCATCAAATTAAAAAGAATGTAGAGGTATGATCTTAAGTACATGTTTTTAACATGAGTTAGCGTTTACTTTATAATTACATTAAAATAATTATAAGGGCATTCATAATATTTTATTATGTGAGACAAATAAAAATTACCTATATTATAGGCAACAATATGAAATTAATTAATAAAAATCAAAATTGAAAAGTTAATTTTTTTTACTTTTACAGTTGTCAATTTACATTTTTATGATTCTCCTTCTTAAAGAATAAATTTTTACAGGCATAATGCTAATTAATAAGAAAAAAGTAATTAATTTCTATTTTTAAATATTTTATAAGGTTAAATTTTACAATTTGTTCAACAACAATTTAGGAAATTACTATGTAATTTGGTTTCACAACATCCATTGTTATTAAACCCCTTTTTTCACCATCATAATTACTAAAGAATTTCATAAACAAAAAAGTTGAGTAGTTGTATAAACGTGACAAAAAATGACTTATTAGTTTGTATTCTTTAAGAATATAATAATTAACTTATCAATAGTTTTATTATTTAAGAATAAAAAGGTTCAAAACTTGTTTCTGGTTTCTGTTGTTATAGAATTATATATGCATCTTTAGTTATCAGTGACCATAAACCTAACTTAGAAAAAAAGTTATATTCTTTAAGAGTAGGACGAATGCTTTATAAGTAGTAGTCATATTCTTTAAGAATGGAATAGTTGAAAGTGAATTTCTAATTTGCTTTCTTAAAGAATTACTTATGAATTCTACAAAAAAATTTAAAGAATTTTAATGGTACTGAGTAAGTATAAATAGTTGAAAATGAGAATATTGTGATTAGGTTTATTCTTTAAGAATGACTAGAATTACATGTAAGTATGTTCTTCAAGAATAAAATGGTTAGAATGTGAGTTTTTAATCTGTATTTTTAAAGAATTGAGTTTTAATCTGTATTCTTTAAAAATAACGCACATTGTTTTATCTTCTTTCAACATAGTGTAAACACAATTAATTAGACAGAATCTTAGTCGAGTTTTATTCAGTACATGATTGATAAAAAAAGAAGAAATATAATAAAGCGAACCTGGATAAACTCAAAATCATTACAATAAAAGAAAAAGAGAGATGAAGATGATATTCTGGTTTGCGATTTTAAAAGAAGAACGATGATCTCTTGGTGACTGTGATTAAATAAAACATGAAGATCATCTCCCAATGGTGATGCTCAGAATGATGTTGGATGACGTCAATATGAGAAGCTAAATGAATGAATGGTGGTGACGTTAACTAGTGGCGATATAGATCAGATGGTTGTTAATGGCAAGGGTTGTAGCTGGCGGCGATGGTGTATGTTTGAAGAAGATGATGGTTGCTACTTCTTTGAACGTATAGGGTAAAATGGATGGGGATAATAATTGTATAAATATGATATTTTAATTTGGAAATTCAAATATCTTCCATAAATATATGTATTTAAAATATATAATAATTAACTAAATTACTATAATACTCCTGTCAAATGATTGGCCTAAAATTGGTTATACATTCACACAATAATTACAGGTTATATATATATGAACCTAATATATATATATATATATATATATATATATATATATATATATATATACACACACACACATATATATATATATATATATATATATATATATATATATATATATATATATATAGGAAAATTGAATATACCCTTAAGCGTATATAAGCTTAGGTACCCAAACTAACTATATTACATCGTTCTGTATTATATTTAAATTGTAATTGTCTAATTGTTCTTATAATTCAACTTATAACTTGATTACTTCTAAGATTTTTATAAATTTCACATTTATCTTCCTCTTACATACTTTTCATTTTCAACTATAATATATATAGCCTAGTAGGTGTTCGACAAAAAAATATGATATAAGAGGAAGATAATAGTGAAATTTCAAAAATCTTCAATGTAAATCAAGTTAGGGGTTGAAGTTTAAGAACATTATAATAAATATATCTAACAAAACTACTAATTATTGTGAGTTTGGATACCTAAATCTATATACCCTTAAGGAATATATTCACTTTACCATATATATATATATATATATATATATATATATATATATATATATATATATATATATATATATATATATATATATATATATATATATATATATATATATATATATAATCAAATATGTCTGTTGCCCAAAGTCTCCAAGCCCAACAGTCCAATTTTTAAATGTTTACCAGCGGTAAACTATTATCGCCGGCATTTTACGAGCGATGTAAATTGGGCCGGTGTTTATCGACAGTAAAATGGATCACGTCGGATTACTCACGGTGTTTTAAGCATGACACCGTGCAAACTAAGATAGAGAAAAAAAAAAATGAAAAGACACAAAAGTCTACTATAGAGGTTGAGATTTGTACATTAATTTAGTTTTTTTATAAACATTTTTTTAATTAATTATTAATATGGTTTTAGTTTTAATTTGTTTTTTCATTTTAATCGTCTTTAACATAGCATATATTTTTGTTTGTCGTTTTGAATATACTTTCTTGATTCTTAGTTTTACATTTGAAAGTTATCTTATTTGTTATCGTTTTACGATCTAGTAACAAAATGAAAATGGCTTTTTTGAATATATGTTTTTACCGATATTGAATTTTATTTGTGAATATAATATATTAGGTTAATTAGTCAACAAATAATAAAAATAAAAACATAAAAAATAATTAAAAGGAATAAATAATAATATTATAAGATTAAACATTATATTTAATTTTGCAATATATATATATATATATATATATATATATATATATATATATATATATATATATATATATATATATATATATATATATATCCTTCAAAATATTAAGTGGTTAATGAATATTAACAAAATAATTTATATGTTCTAATGGTATTGAATCGTTATAGAATACTAATATTTCATTAAAATAATAATTAATTAATTAAAAAATTTTAAAAAAAGTACTACCAATTAAGATGCTCTAATAGATTTTTTTTGAAGAAGCTTAAGTTATGAAAATGATTTTTTAATTTTACTTAATATTTATCAAACATATTTATAAGATCTTTATTTCGTATGTTTTAAAATAGCTATTAATTTCAAATTATATTAACATTCAAATGTACCTAAGAAAATTTTCAAACTTTATTTCTACATCTACATAGCAATATGTTTCAAACAATTAATATTGATGTTTTATATTCTCTTGCAATTAAGATTTTGAGGTAATTTATGTAAATATATTTTGTTATATTTTACAAATAAGTTTTTAAACTACTTAATCATAACAATAATTAAAAACGATAATAAATCAAACATGTAATTTTATAATACTAAAACAAGAATTATATTTAATTGATAAAATTTAAAAATTGATCTCTGTGGTTGTGGTTGTCAATTTCTTTGTATAAGGTCCAAAAAAAAATTATTATAAAAAAGGTTTATATGTTGTGGTTTTGATCTCTATCTCGTTAAGTTTGACGATATGGCTGTTAACTTTTGACAAATTACAGATTTATCCCTGGGATTATTTATGCAGTTTTATCTTTCTATCAAACTAAAAGGACCAATTATGCAATTTTTTTTTTTATTTTATTGAATAATTGTATATTAATTCTTTTAATTATTATTATTATTTTTTAAACTTTTTTTCTTATTGTATTATTTTTTATTGGATTATTATATATTAATAAATATTGTTTTTAATATATTATATTTATATATTAATAAATATTACTTTATTTGATTATTGATTTTTTAATTAATTCTCTTTGAATTTCTTCTATATTGCATTAATTCGTTTTTATTTGATTATTATATATTAATAAATATTATTTTTAACGTATAATATTTATTTATTAGTAAGTGCTACTTTATTTGATTATTAATTTCATTTAGTTAATTTTTTATAGCCTTAATTATTTTATTAGACTATTAATTTTATTTATAATAAATAATATTTTTTAATTATTTTTATTTTCTTTTAATTTCTTTCTTTATTGTTTTAAATAAAAATATCAAAAAATCTCATCCACTCCACATTTCCTGATTTATTTTAAATATTTGAAAGATAGCATATTTTGGACAACATCACCACCATCACTTAGTCACAAGAAATCACTATCGGACCGTCTCCAATAAGTAAATATTTCATGTATATAATTTCAGTAATTAGTCACGAAGTGAGAACATCGTATGTATTTTAGTTTTTATGTATCCACATGTGTCTAAATTTGTTATATATTTCAATAAATATATTATTTTAACTTATAATTTTAACATATATAATTTTCCTAAAAATGTTTGTATATGAATTACAAAATCCGAGTATGCGTAACTCGTCGGTCGGCCGAACAAGTATTAAATAACGAGTTCTACAACCTTGCCGCCACCTGTAGTGGTTATGGTGGTTTGAAAACCCTAGATCAAACATTGTCGTTATCGATGGCAGTATCTGTAATGAATGATCGGCTAGAGGCTATATGTTTTCGGGGGTTTATTACACATTGTGTAGGTAGTCGCCTTGTGTAGTTTTCGTCGAGAATGGCCGACATTAGTTAATGATCGACGATTTCTAGCGAGATGATACGACG